TTGGACGCGACGTTAAACCCATTTTCACCTCACCTCACACCAGAAATCAAACCAACAGAACAATCACCTTGCTTTACTAAACAATCAGCAATGTCACTGTTGGTAGTGCTTCACAAACTGATCAGAAATGCCACTGTTGGTTTTCTTCAGTAAACAGTCAGCAATACCACTGTTAAGTGTGCTTGACTAAGCAGTCAGTAATTCCCCATGCTGTTGGTAATGCTTTACTAAACAGTCAGAAATGTCACTGTTGGTATTGCTTCACTAATTAGTCAGCAATACCAGTGTTGGTTTTGCTTCACTAAACAGTTAGTAGTACCCCTGTTGGCTCTGCTTCACCAAACGGTGATCAATTCCAGTGCTGTTGGATGTACTTCACGAAACAGTCGCCAATTCCACTGCTGTTGCTATTGCTTCACTTAACAGTCAGTAATGCCCCTGTTGTTGGTATTGCTTTACGAAACAGTCAGTAATGCCCCTGTTGTTGGTATTGCTTTACGAAACAGTCAGTAATGCCCCTGTTGTTGGTATTGCTTTACGAAACAGTCAGTAATGCCCCTGTTGTTGGTATTGCTTTACGAAACAGTCAGTAATGCCCCTGTTGTTGGTATTGCTTTACGAAACAGTCAGTAATGCACCTGTTGTTGGTATTGCTTTACGAAACAGTCAGTAATGCCCCTGTTGTTGGTATTGCTTTACGAAACAGTCAGTAATGCCCCTGTTGTTGCTATTGCTTCACTTAACAGTCAGTAATGCCCCTGTTGTTGGTATTGCTTTACGAAACAGTCAGTAATGCCCCTGTTGTTGGTATTGCTTTACGAAACAGTCAGTAATGCCCCTGTTGTTGCTATTGCTTCACTTAACAGTCAGTAATGCCCCTGTTGTTGGTATTGCATTACGAAACAGTCAGTAATGCCCCTGTTGTTGGTATTGCTTTACGAAACAGTCAGTAATGCCCCAGGTGTTGGCTGTGCTTCAGTAAGGAATCATCAATGCCCCTGCTATTGATATTGCTTTACTAAACAGTCAGAAGAGCCACTGCTTTTGGTCTTGTTTCACTAGACAGTCAGCAATGCCACTGCTTTGGTCTTGTTTCACTAGACAGTCAGCAACGCCCCTGCTTTGCTATTGTTTCACTAGACAGTCAGCAATGCCCCTGCTGTTACTATTGTTTCACAAGACAGTCAGCAATGCCCCTGCTGTTGGTATTGTTTCACTAGACAGTCAGCACTGCCCCTGTTGTTGGTATTGTTTCACTAGACAGTCAGCAACGCCCCTGCTGTTGCTATTGTTTCACTAGACAGTCAGCAACGCCCCTGCTTTGCTATTGTTTCACTAGACAGTCAGCAATGCCCCTGCTGTTACTATTGTTTCACAAGACAGTCAGCAATGCCCCTGCTGTTGGTATTGTTTCACTAGACAGTCAGCAACGCCCCTGCTGTTGGTATTGTTTCACTAGGCAGTCAGCAACGCCCCTGTTTTTGGTATTGTTTCACTAGACAGTCAGCAACGCCCCTGTTGTTGGTATTGTTTCACTAGACCGTCAGCAATGCCTCTGCTGTTGGTATTGTTTCACTAGACAGTCAGCAATGCCTCTGCTGTTGGTATTGTTTCACTAGACAGTCAGCAATGCCCCTGCTGTTGCTATTGTTTCACTAGACAGTCAGCAATGCCCCTGCTGTTGGTATTGTTTCAATAGACAGTCAGCAACGCCCCTGCTGTTGGTATTGTTTCACTAGACAGTCAGCAATGCCCCTGATGTTGGTATTGTTTCACTAGACAGTCATTAATGCCCCTGCTGTTGATATTGTTTCACTAGACAGTCAGCAATGCCCCTGCTGTTCGTATTGTTTCACTAGACAGTCAGCAATGTCCCTGCTGTTGGTATTGTTTCACTAGAGAGTCAGCAATGCCCCTGCTGTTGGTATTGTTTCACTAGACAGTCAGCAATGCCCCTGCTGTTGATATTGTTTTAGTAGACAGTCAGCAATGCCCCTGCTCTGGATATTGTTTCACTAGACAGTCAGCAATGCCCCTGCTGTTGCTATTGTTTCACTAGACAGTCAGCAACGCCCCTGCTGTTGCTATTGTTTCACTAGACAGTCAGCAATACCCCTGCTGTTGCTATTGTTTCACTAGACAGTCAGCAATGCCCCTGCTGTTGGTATTGTTTCACTAGACAGTCAGCACTGCCCCTGTTGTTGGTATTGTTTCACTAGACAGTCAGCAACGCCCCTGCTGTTGCTATTGTTTCACTAGACAGTCAGCAACGCCCCTGCTGTTGATATTGTTTCACTAGACAGTCAGCAATGCCTCTGCTGTTGGTATTGTTTCACTAGACAGTCAGCAATGCCCCTGCTGTTGGTATTGTTTCACTAGACAGTCAGCAATGTCCCTGCTGTTGCTATTGTTTCACTAGACAGTCAGCAATGCCCCTGCTGTTGGTATTGTTTCACTAGACAGTCAGCAATGCCCCTGCTGTTGGTATTGTTTCACTAGACAGTCAGCAATGCCCCTGCTGTTGGTATTGTTTCACTCGGCAGTCAGCAATGCCCCTGCTGTTGATATTGTTTCACTAGACAGTCAGCAATGCCCCTGCTGTTGGTATTGTTTCACTAGACAGTCAGCAATGCCCCTGCTGTTGGTATTGTTTCACTAGACAGTCACCAATGCCCCTGCTGTTGGTATTGTTTCACTAGACAGTCAGCAATGCCCCTGCTGTTGGTATTGTTTCACTAGACAGTCAGCAATTCCCCTGTTGTTGGTATTGTTTCACTAGACAGTCAGCAATGCCGCTGCTGTTGCTATTGTTTCACTAAACAGTCAATAGAGCAACTGCTGTTGGTGTTGCTTCACTCAACAATCAGTAATGCCCCTTCTGTTCGTGTTGCTTTACTAAACAGTCAATAATGCCCCTGCTGTTGTTTTTGCTTCACTAAAGATAAGTAACGCCCCTGTTTGCCGTGCTTTACTAAACAGTCATCAATGCCTCTGCTTTTGGTATTGCTTCACTAAAGAGTCATCAAAGCCCCTTGCGTTGGCTGTTCTGTACAAAGCAGTCAGTAATGCCCCTGTTTTTGGTATTGCTTTACTAAACAGTCATCAAACCCCTGCTATTGATATTGCTTCACTCAACATACAGTTATGCTCCTGATGTTGGTATTGCTTTACTAAACAGTCATCAATGGCCCTGCTTTTGTCAGTCCTTCACTAAAGAGTCATCAAAGCCCCTGGCGTTGACTGTTCTGTACGAAACAGTTAGCAATGCCCCTGCTGTTGGTGTTGCTTTACTAAACAGTAATTAATCCTCTGCTATTGGTATTGCCTTACTAAACAGTCAGAAGAGCCACTGCTTTTGGTATTGCTTTACTAAACAGTCAGAAGAGCCACTGCTGTTGGCATTGCTTCACTTAACAGTCAGTAATGCCTCTGCTGTTGGTACTGCTTCACGCAACAGTCAGTAATGCCCCTGCTGATGGATGTGCTTCTCTAAAGGGCAAGTGTACACGAAAATGAACCTATTTTTTGGGTACTTTTTCAACATTAAAAGTGTTAACCTAGTAGAGTCATAGACAAAAATATAAAAATATCAAAATTAATTAACATATTTTTTTCCATTAAAACGATTTATATTTTTTACATTTACCAAGTGTTCCATTTCCATAACAAAAACACCATGGCTTATGCCCCTTGCAATATGACGTCATTGGTGCCAATTGATAAACAGTATGACGTCATCAAGCTTTGTTAGAGCGGCTTCACGTGGTGTATGTACAAGTGTGTGATTCTAGCGTCTCAGGTGCGCAGCCTACTGATTTGAACATGGTATACTGTTCGGTTCCTCGCTGTTCAAATTACAACGCAAAGAAACATTATTCTAAAATTAGTTATTTTCTTTTCCCAAAATCGCCACGGAGAAGACAACAATGGATAAAGTACTGTAAGATTCACGATGATGGATGGAAAGGTCCGTTGGGTGAATATCGCGTCTGTGATGCTCACTTTGACACTTGCTGTCGTGTTTCGCGAGCAATGCCTTCCAGTTGTTCGACTGATCGGAAACAATTACGCCCGGATGCTGTACCATCCTAATTTGGAAACGGGATCAAGGGGCAGCACTCCCATCAAGACCCTGACTGGAGTGTTTTCGTAAACAAACGTCGTAAAGTCGAAGCATCTCGGGTAAGTTTAATGTATGTAATATCACATAAAACCTAAACACGGTAGCATATAAGGTAGTTGTTTAACACAGTAATAAGTTAGTATTTGTTCATAGTTTCACGAGATAATTAAGCATGTTAAACGTGCGTCTCGTTCACTTCCTGGAATTACTTGGACATCGATATTCGGTGATCAGATGATCGCAGTACTACAGTGTGCTGCACGGTTTTGTGATTTTGATAGTTGACATATGTGTGGTAAGTAATTTTCACGTAACGAACTTCATCGATTATTTGTATTTGTTTTTTAATTTACAGTCGTTCACCATCACGAGCGATAAAAGTGAATTTGAATATAACTACCCCTCGATGCCCGTGGGCAGTCAGTGTGGAGATGTACCGTCCGAGAAACATAACTTGCACATACAACCCCCTAATTGGACAGCAGATGCCGGAACTGACACCAACCATCTCATTTCGGTAAGCTATTTAGCGACAACAAAACATACTACACGTATGCCATTAGACATGATTAGACTGATTTAGCATTAACTGATAATTCTCAAAGTTCTGGAAAGACGTACATAAATATATGTAGTATTCTTTACACGTATTTGATGCCGTTAAAATACACAAATCAATGACATGTAGTTAATTCATAATGTGCTATCGCTGAAATTTTGTGAATGACACAGATGACAAACTTGTGAATGTTTGTACTATTTCTATCAAATTTGTAGTGTCGAAGCAAGTCATGCCAGACTCCGATGCCCTCACTCAGCTCCACTGGTACTCAGAGGAGGCTGAATACATCCCGGTGCACGGTAGCTGTCCAGTGTTCACCGCAAACATGTGACCGTGCTACACAGTATGAGGTAACAAATTCATATTTCAAATTAATCAAGCATAAATTTATGTAAAAATGATTTTTTTCACAATTGAAATATGTTGTACATTATATTCTTGTGATACTGTAACAGAATGTAACTGACATTTTCTAAATCTAATTGTGGCATTGTACACTGGTGACATTTGTAACCAGGCACCAAGTGAGGCTGGCAGCAAGCATGATACACCTTACACAAGTGATGATGACAGTGACAGTGATGAAGACTACCACCCTCTTTCAAGCAAAGTCAAGTTCGAAGAATTTCAGTCCCAGCAAAAGTATGTATTGAATGTACCATTTTCCAATTCATATGAAATCTACCATAGCACGACATATTTAAACATCATGTGAACACACAATCTAACATGTACAATCACTTCAGTCAATCAACAAAGTAATTTGACAGTTGTTATTTTATATTTCAGGTCCCTCAATGATCATCTTGAAGAAACAAAGTTCCTGGTGTTCAAATCCAATTTGTTGTCATTGTTCTTGTTTTGCAAGTTATGCTTTTGTTCATGCAGAGCCACTATTTATAAAGTCTGTGGTAGTCTTGTGACTGTTCAGATACAGTGCCTTAGACACAAAGAGCATCTGTATTTCTGGAGTAGTCAGCCAGTCCACAAACAACTGCCACTTGGCAATTTGGCCATAGCTTGTGCTATTTTCTTTAGTAGCCTTTCCCCAGTAAAGGCTCTGAGGAGCTATTCAATACTGAACATGTACAGCATAAGCAGATCAACGTTTCATAAGATCCAGAGAAGCTATATTGTTCCAGCCAGTTCAAGGGTGTGGTCTAAACATCAAAATCAACTCCTGCTTGAAAGAAAGGAGAAATCCATACGCCTGGCAGGGGATGCAAGGTGTTGCTCACCTGGACACACAGGTTAATCCTCATTTTTTAGCTTTAAAGTACATGTATTCAAAAATTCTCTTTAGTCCAATATATTTTTTGTATATACATGTATATGCATATGAATACATATTATGTATGTGCCCAAAACATTTGAGACTACAAGCCCGAATATGGGTCTTAGCATAATTTTCAGTTAAATGTAGTGTTATTATAAGGATTATTATCAGCTGAGCTTATTCGACAGAACAGAAGTTTACTAGATTTGGGCTTCTGACTTTTGGCTAAATTGTCAACTGTGTACATGTGCGATGTAGATTGTTTAGTCTTTAGTATTCCAATGTGTGACTTGGCTGAATATGTGTAAGCATACCCATAACTGACAAATATGATAAATGCCACGGTTGACATAAACTTTAGAAATTTTCATTGCCTTTGATATATTTAATGTAACCATGTATTAGAAGAAGACATAAATTGCACTGAATGTTATGTCAGCTTTATGTAGTCTCTGTGTTTTTTAACATTGTTACAGCCAAGTATGGAAGCTACACCTTGATTGATGTGGACACAAACCATGTTTTGGACATCCAGTTGGTACAGGTAAGAACACATATTCTTGTCATAACAAGGGTTCATGATACAGTAAAAGAAATACATACAGTTAAATACACCAACTGCACATGATGTGACCTGAACATGTTGAGTTGTGTCCAGTGATACTTACAGACATTACATACTGAAAGTGTTGATGTTGAACATCTCTGTACAGGTGTGAACAACTGAATTTCTATTGTCCTATTTTCAGTCGAATGAGGTGGCCAATTCTAATGCCATGGAACTTGAGGGATTAAAAAGGGGCCTTGCATTTCTTCAGGCAGCCAGGGTGGATGTTTCAGACATCATTACAGACAGGCACACGCAAATTAAAGCCTACTTAAGGAAGGAGGAAGCTGGCATTCACCACTGGTTTGATGTATGGCATGTAGCTAAAGGTGAATACATAGTTATACAAATCATCAATAACAGCATGATTAGATTGTAACTAATGTATTTCATCACCTAAAACATAATAAACACACTTCCAGGTAATTTCTGTTCAATATTATCATTATATGACATTACTAGCCATTGTACAGGTAGCTTTTAATGTTTTGAGGCATTTACAAGAAACTTCAAAAAATCAGCAAAAAGAAAGGCCTGGAAATAATCAGCTTGTGGGCACATTCCATTTCCAATCACCTATATTGGTGTGCTGCAACCAGCAAGGGCAATGCAGAGGAGGTGCAAGCTAAGTGGTTGTCGATTGCTAACCACATAGCTAACATCCATAGTGGTCATGGTGCAAGCTTCCCTTCATGTATGCACGGGGAAATTCAAGATAGAATTTGGGTAACTGCTGGTATGTAAAATAAACAAATAAGCTTCATAATGTTTGATATAAAAGAAATTGTCTGCCACAAAAATAAGATTGTTAAAAAGTGTTATTTAGAAAAAAATTATTTTTTCTCCTCGTCTTCATAAAAAATGTGTTGGTGTCACTGATAAAACAATTGCACCACAATATCACATGCTCGGCCCCTTCTACCTTTATGTATTGACTAAAAGTCATATTTTAACTTTCTTGATTTACTGACAAATGTAAAATGTTTAGTGACAAGGGCTGTGTATCGATACTCACCACTAAAGATCAATTACTATGTCAATTGTTTGTAGACATTTTTTCATGACAACCCCCCTCCCCCCACCCAATGAAAATAATGACCAGATTACCAGTCCCCAAATAAGTATCAAATTCATAACTTATTTAGTAGAAAATATATATATAATACTATGTATAAGTATATATATTATAATTTCCAGGCACACGAGCTCACAAGGAGATTGAAAGTATCCTCAAGTCTACATATCTCCTTAAAGATGTGGCTAAACTGTCACCCCATGGGCAGACATCACATCTGGAAGGATTTCATAGCGTGATATGCCACTTCGCTCCCAAATTGTATCACTATCATTACAACGGAATGAAAGCAAGGTATGTATTGTGATGCTTTAAGAGAAACAAAAATAAAACTAGATCATGGGAGACTAATCTTCAGCAAACTCCTAGCCAGGTTGACTCAAATTTATAGACGAGTTAATGATTGCAGAATCCTACACATCATGATATATATATAATATAATTACAATCTGTGACAATAAGAATACTGTAACAGGTTGCTGATGTCTGCACTCCATTTCAACGAGAATGGTAGTCGGCACATTGCAAACACCAAGAATGGACACGAGAAATGGAGTGTCTCTTATCCTAAGAGCAGAAACTGGGGAAGCTGCTGCTAAACCCCTCAAGACAAATCCAACATACGGTATGGATGTTATTGGTGATAAGTGGCTTTACATGAGATCCATCAACATGGACTTTTCAGGAGGTTGAATCCTGTTTTTATGGACCTGAAATAGTTGTTAGCATATTGTGTAAAATCTTTTACAGTACAATGAAAAGCTGTTATGTGATTTTGGTGTATTATTTTTTCAGAATATGTTGGCGAGCTGCTACATGAAGTGTCAAACCTCCGAACAGAGTTTACGAGTTTTAACCTTGCCAACAACTCCCTCAGTGAGAACCAGCCACCCTGCATAACTGACACTCATGGAAAGAAACAACAAAAACAGATTGTTGTCAGAAATCATAAAACCAGATTTCAATAAAACAGTATTTATTTTAGTGAGAATAGAGGAAACCCGTATACACATCCGATGGAAATCTTTCACGAATTTTATGTACAACACAAGAAGGAATAACTTTTCGATGATTCTTTCCTAACTTTTGGCAAATCCAGTAGGTGAATCTCCTGTAGGCCAGATGTCGGTAAATTCTGAAAAGCATGAAAATAATTTTGAATACAGTGCATTAAAGGTATTGCCATTTTTTCTCTTACAAAACGTTACAAATATCATGTACTTTTAGAAGATGGGTATGGAGTGGTTCTAGGGGGTTCATGCAAGATGATGTTTTGGGGATTTTTTTAAAACAAATATTTTCAAAGTTTCCATGGTAAAACCTTTGACATAGACTAAAATGGTAGCATTGCTTGTTTCCAAGTGACGACAAGCAGTTCTTAACACACCCTACAGTATCCAGTGTGTTAGACCTATTACATGATTCTATCAATAAATATAGAATCTATTATCTAAGAAGGGGTGGAGGAGAGGGATCTTACTTGACTAACCCAGCACCTTACTGGTCAATTCAAAGATGCATAATAATTTCACAAATGTAAAAAAAGCTGAGTTAACTGTTCCAATATAATCATATCATGTTAAATGACATAGGTATAACAATTTCCTTGAAAAGTATGTGTGACGGTGCCTTGTCAACAATTCAGTCATGACTTATACAATTGATCAAATACTATATACACATTTAAAAACAAGTCGAAAATTTGTTTTAAAATCCTGACTCGTAGTCTACAATAAACAAGAGAAGACTTTGGTCACTGATGAAAGTAAATCAGGCATTTCTTCCCAACATTTGTTTCAGGTATTTTTATGTTCTATGAAGCTAATACATTTAAAAAACGTAAATGATGGTTTTAGCAACAAAAACCTTTGTCCCTTGATGTAACTTAATCTGAGAAAAATTCTCATCCCTGGAAATAAAATTATGAGATTATGGAAGTTGAATTTCTTATTTAAATTTTAGTGAAATTTGGGCGTTCAAATTGTTCTACAAACATGTAATACTCTCTTGATAAAGCATACAACTATTTTATGAATTATTAGAATGTATCCTACTTGTGTACTGGTTCATCATCTCCTATCCGACCACTGGTGTCAATGAACTCATTGTAGTACGCCTCCATTCCATACTTGCTCAGTGACACTTCATAGAGGCCAGGGTGGTAAGTGATGCAGCTGAAGTTGCAGGTAGATGTGTCATCAAGCTTATTCTTGACAGGAGCAACAACAACACAACACAGCTCCTCTACCTCAGACTGCATTCCCACACAGCAACCACATGTACACCTGTAACATTATTGCATCAGGTATATTATATTTCATGATTTACACTTTGTGTAAGTACACAGTTCATTACCAGGCCAAATTAATAAAATAATATTAGGTGAAAACAATTTAACATTTTTACTAAAACATATGCAATTAATAGTTACAACACAGAGTATCGGACTTGAAGTGTTCATGATGTACGAAGGATAAAACATATTTTAAGTAAATTATAATAGTGGCACAAACTCATGGTTACTGTTATGTCTATTTAGAGGTATCAAATATCTGCCTGAAGTCATTTTCCAGTGACCAGTTATACTAGGGTATGTTACAGTTTCCCAGCAATGTTGCAATGGCTTTGTTGTGATTCCGTGGTGAGAGCAAACCAATATTATAAACAATGATCTATTAAACTGATGTCGAACAAAACACAAAATATTGGGACTCATCAGGGTCTACTTTTCAAAAGGTGCTAGTTTCGTACAACGGGTGGCAGATCGGACAACCGATTGAACACGACATCGAACAATACGACAGTCGTTTTGAATATGAATTTGGATCTTAAATATTATTTCATAGATCTGGAGAGGTTAACATGTGGCTCTTGTCAGTATGTTTACAATCGGAAACAACGTGTTGACTCGGCAGCCTGCGGGACGAACACCTAAATCGTGTTACGCAAAGAATAGCAACGGTTGGCGACATACTAGTATTAACTAGTATTAAAATTGCCATGTAGCCTGCGAAGTAGCCCATGGGTGGTGAGGATAGTGAAACATTTTTGATAAGCTCGGATTGGACGATATTGCTATGGAATCGTAACAGGGTGGGACAGGATAAATGGCTACAGAAGAGTATGGGTTAGGCTACCAGGCATGGCACATATCTCTAAGAATATGTTTCGCTTCTGGAAATGTACAATGAGCTGTAATAAGATATTTAGGCCAAGTTTATTCTTACCACAGTGGTCTCGTCGGTTGTTCAGTAGATGGGTCGGAGGCTGACGACACGAATAAGAGGTCTTCGCTTGTTTCTTCTTCGTCGCCATATCTTGACTTTATCTTGAAGTTCGGGAAATGTTCAGGTGTTGGCTCAAAAGCATATGGCTTTACAATTTCTGTCTGGTCAAACGAAAATTCTTCACTATCAGACGATGAGCTGGACTCGTAGGCCATGTTGTTTTACCGTAAACTGGTACTTGATATATTTTGCGCTGAGAATAGACAGGAACCCAGTTGAATTGGCACCAATTACGTCATAATCTAAGGGGGGTAACTCAGGCCTGTTTAGCTCGCAAATCGAACGCCTCACAACGGCATTTCATTTTCACACTATTGTGAGCTTCCTACTTTCACTTTGAAAAAGATGAGTGTATATTTTCAAACACAGACACTAATTAATTCTAAAATTGCGTTTTGTTTAGAAAAAGAAAGAAAGTGATTTTTGCGTGTACACTTCCCCTTTAAGGAGTCATCAATGCCCCTAGTGTTGGTATTGCTTTACTTAGCAGTAAGTTATGCCCCTGCTCTTGGTATTGCTTTACGAAACAGTAAGTAATGCCCCTGCTCTTAATATTGCTTTAAGAAACAGTAAGTAATGCCCCTGGTTTTGGCTTTGGTTTACTAAACAGTCAGTAATGCCCCTGCTGTTGGATGTGCTCCTTTGATGAGTCATCAATGCCCCTAGTGTTGGTATTGCTTTACTAAACAGTCATCAATGGCCCTGCTTTTGTCAGTCCTTCACTAAAAAGTCATCAAAGCCCTGGCGTTGACTGTTCTGGTCGAAACAGTCATCAATCCCCTGCTATTGATACTGCGTTACTAAACAATCAGAAGAGCCACTGCTGTTGGTATTGCTTAACTAAACAGTCAGTAATGCCCCTGCTGTTGGTATTGCTTCACTCAACAGTCAGTAATGCCCCTGCGCTTGGTATTGCTTTACGAAACAGTAAGAAATGCCCCTGCTCTTGGTATTGCTTTACGAAACAGTCAGTAATGCCCCTGCTGTTGGTATGGCTTTATTTAGCAGTCAGTAATACCACTGTTGTTGGTATTTTTTACTTAACAGTCAATCATGCCACTGGTGTTGGTATTTATTTACTAAACAGTCAGTAATGCCCCTGCTGTTGGGATGGCTTTACTAAGCAGTCAGTAATGCCCCTGCTGTTGGTATTGCTTTACGAAACAGTAAGAAATGCCCCTGGTTTTGGCTTTGGTTTACTAAACAGTCAGTAATGTCCCTGCTGTTGGTATTGCTTCGCTCATCAGACAGTAATGCCATTGCTGTTGGTGTTGCTTTATTAAGCAGTCATTAATACCCCTGCTGTTGGTATGGCTTTACTAAGAAGTCAGTAATGCCCCTGCTTTTGGTATTGCTTAACGAAACAGTAAGTAATGCCCCTGGTTTTGGCTTTGCTTTACTAAACAGTCAGTTATACCAATGCTGTTGGTGTTGCTTTACTAAACAGTAAGTAATGCCCCTGTTGTTGGTATTGCTTTACTAAACAGTCATCAATGCCTTTTCTGTTGGTATGGATTTACTAAGCAGTCAGTAATGCCCCTGCTGTTGGAATTGCTTCATGCAACAGTCAGTAATGCCCCTGCTGATGGATGTGCTTCTTTAATGAGTCATCAATGCCCCTAGCGTTGGTATTGCTTTACTAAACACTCATCAATGGCCCTGCTTTTGTCAGTCCTTAACTAAAGAGTCATCAAAGCCCCTGGCGTTGACTGTTCTGTACGAAGCAGTCAGTAATGCCCCTGATGTTGGTATTGCTTCACTGAACAGTCAGTAATGCCCCTGGTGTTGGAATTGCTTCAATAAACAGTCAATAATGCCACTGCTGTTGGTATTTCTTTACGTAACAGTCAGTAATGCCCCAGGTGTTGGCTGTGCTTCAGTTAGGCATCATCAATGCCCCTTTTGTTGGTATTGCTTCACTAAACAGTCAGTAATACCCAAGATGTTGGCTGTGCTTCAGTAAGGAATCATCAATGCCCCTTTTGTTGGTATTGCTTTACTTAACAGTCAGTAATGACCCTGTGGTAGGTATTGCTTCATTAAACAGTCAGTAATGCCCCTGGTGTTGGTATTGCTTCACTAAACAGTCAGTAATGCCCCTGCTCTTGGTATGGCTTAACTAAGCAGTCAGTAATGCCCCTGCTGTTGGTATGGCTTTACTAAGAAGTCAGTAATGCCCCTGCTGTTGGTATGGCTTTATTTAGCAGTCAGTAATACCACTGCTGTTGGTATTTCTTTACTTAACAGTAATCATTGCCTCTGCTGTTGGTCTTGCTTTACTATACACTTAGTAATGCCCTTGCGGTAGTTATTACTTCATTAAACAGTCAGCAATGCCCCTGCTGTTGATATGGCTTTACTAAGCAGTCACTAATGTCCCCGCTGTTGGTATGGCTTTACTAAGCAGTCAGTAATGCCCCTGATGTTGGTATTGCTTCAATAAAAAGTCAATCATGCCACTGCTGTTGGTATTTCTTTACTTAAAAGTCAGCAATGCCCCTGCTGTTGGTATGGCTTTACTAAGCAGTCAGTAATGCCCCTGATGTTGGCATTGCTTCAATAAAAAGTCAATCATGCCACTGGTGTTGGTATTTCTTTACTAAACAGTCAGTAATGCCCCTGATGTTGGTATTGCTTTACGTAACAGTCATTATTGCCCCTGGTGTTGGCATTGCTTTAATAAACAGTCAATAATGCCACTGCTGTTGTTATTGCTTTACTTAACAGTCAGTAATGCCCCTGATGTTGGTATTGCTTTACTATACACTTAGTAATGCCCCTGCTGTTGGTATGGCTTTACTAAGCAGTCAGTAATGCCCCTGATGTTGGTATTACTTTACTAAACAGTCAGTAATGCCCCTGATGTTGGTATTGCTTTACTAAGCAGTCAGTAAATCCCCTGATGTTGGTATTGCTTCACTAAACAGTTAGTAATGCCCCTACTGTTGGTATGTCTTTACTAAACAGTCAGTAATGCCCCTGCTGTTGGTATTGCTTTACTATACACTTAGTAATGCCCCTGCGGTAGATATTTCTTCATTAAACAGTCAGCAATGCCCTTGGTGTTGGTATTGCTTTACTTTACACTTAGTAATGTCCCTGCTGTTGGTATTGCTTCATTAAACTGTCAGCAATGCCCCTGCTGTTGGTATTGCTTTACTAAACAGTCAGTAATGCCCCTGATGTTGGTATTGATTTTTCTTAACAGTCAGTATGCCCCTAATATTGGTATGGCTTTACTAAGCAGTCAGTAATGCCCCTGCGGTAGGTATTGCTTCACTAAGCAGTCAGTTATGCCCCTGATGTTGGTAAACAGTCAATCATGCCACTGGTGTTGGTATTTCTTTACTAAAGAGTCAGTAATGCCCCTGATGTTGGTATGGCTTTACTTAACATTCAGTAATGCCCCTGATGTTGGTATTGCTATACTTAACAGTCATTATTGCCTCAGCTGTTGGTGTTGCTTCACTAAACAGTCAGTAATGCCCCTGCTGTTGGTATTGCTTCACTATACAGTCAGTAATGCCCCTGTTGTTGGCAATTCTTTACTAAACAGTCAGTAATGCCCCTGCTGTTGGTATGGCTTTACTAAGCAGTCAGTAATGCCCCTGATGTTGGCATTCTTCACTAAACAGTCAGTAATGCCCCTGATGTTGGTATTGCTTTACTAAGCAGTCAGTAATGCCCCTGATGTTGGTATTGCTTCACTAAGCAGTCAGTAATGCCCCTGATGTTGGTATTGCTTTACTAAGGAGTCAGTAATGCCCCTGATGTTGGTATTGCTATACTTAACAGTCATTATTGCCTCAGCTGTTGGTATTGCTTCACTAAACAGTCAGTAATGCCCCTGATGTTGGTATTGCTTCACTAAACAGTCAGTAATGCCCCTGCTGTTGGTATTGCTTCACTATACAGTCAGTAATGCCCCTGTTGTTGGCAATTCTTTACTAAACAGTCAGTAATGCCCCTGATGTTGGTATGGCTTTACTAAGCAGTCAGTAATGCCCCTGATGTTGGCATTCTTCACTAAACAGTCAGTAATGCCCCTGCTGTTGGTATGGCTTTACTAAGCAGTCAGTAATGCCCCTGATGTTGGCATTCTTCAATAAACAGTCAATAATGCCACTGCTGTTGTTATTGCTTTACTTAACAGTCAGTAATGCCCCTGATGTTGGTATTGCTTTACTATACACTTAGTAATGCCCCCGCTGTTGGTATGGCTTTACTAAGCAGTCAGTAATGCCCCTGATGTTGGTATTGCTTTACTAAACAGTCAGTAATGCCCCTGATGTTGGTATTGCTTTACTAAGCAGTCAGTAAATCCCCTGATGTTGGTATTGCTTCACTAAACAGTTAGTAATGCCCCTACTGTTGGTATGTCTTTACTAAACAGTCAGTGATGCCCCTGCTATTGGTATTGCTTTACTATACACTTAGTAATGCCCCTGCGGTAGATATTTCTTCATTAAACAGTCAGCAATGCCCCTGCTGTTGGTATTGCTTTACTATACACTTAGTAATGCCCCTGCGGTAGATATTTCTTCATTAAACAGTCAGTAATGCCCCTGCTGTTGGTATTGCTTTACTAAACAGTCAGTAATGCCCCTGATGTTGGTATTGCTTTACTTAACATTCATTATTGCCCCTGCTGTTGTTATTGCTTTACTTAACAGTCAGTAATGCCCCTGATGTTGGTATTGCTTTACTATACACTTAGTAATGCCCCCGCTGTTGGTATGGCTTTACTGAGCAGTCAGTAATGCCCCTGATGTTGGTATTGCTTTACTAAACAGTCAGTAATGCCCCTGATGTTGGTATTGCTTTACTAAGCAGTCAGTAAATCCCCTGCTGTTGGTATTGCTTCACTAAACAGTTAGTAATGCCCCTACTGTTGGTATGTCTTTACTAAACAGTCAGTGATGCCCCTGCTATTGGTATTGCTTTACTATACACTTAGTAATGCCCCTGCGGTAGATATTTCTTCATTAAACAGTCAGCAATGCCCCTGCTGTTGGTATTGCTTTACTATACACTTAGTAATGCCCCTGCGGTAGATATTTCTTCATTAAACAGTCAGTAATGCCCCTGCTGTTGGTATTGCTTTACTAAACAGTCAGTAATGCCCCTGATGTTGGTATTGCTTTACTTAACATTCATTATTGACCCTGCTGTTGTTATTGCTTTACTTAACAGTCAGTAATGCCCCTGATGTTGGTATTGCTTTACTATACACTTAGTAATGCCCCCGCTGTTGGTATGGCTTTACTGAGCAGTCAGTAATGCCCCTGATGTTGGTATTGCTTTACTAAACAGTCAGTAATGCCCCTGATGTTGGT